CGCTGACGCTATTCCCTCGGTATTCTGTCTGAGTAACAGCAGATCATTAGGCATGAGAACTGGTTGATCAAGAGCGTCTTTCGTCAGCGGGGCAAATGGCCTACAGTTAATGATGCCCTCTGCTACGATGAGAAAAATAGACAGGGTTTCGTCGTTGAGAGTATGTTCACCTGCAATAGAAAGCTACACTCGTCATACTGATCTGATCATCCTTCCCTATATACCGTCAGGGTGAATAGCATTGGGTGGATTAAACTGCCACTGGACCCCTTTGCTTAAGAGCTCGTTATTTAGGTTAGCCTGGAACCAGTTGTTTAGCATTTGTCGCAACTGGGCTGCGGCACCAACAAAGTTGTGCCGTTATCGCTGTATATTTCTTCCGGAGTACCACTTTGTGAAATGAACCTCAATAGGCACATAATAAGGGAGTCGGTGTTCAAAGAGTGAGAGAACTCCAGATGAACCGCCCTCATTGGTAGGCAAATGAACAGACACCCATACAGTTCTTCTTGCTTTCGACAGTGTTTGATGGGCATACGACCAAACTAGTCGATTCCAACGTCTTTGAATGCATGCCACTCCTTATCAACCTTGGCTGCTGGCAAAGGTGACATCATCTGTTAACCAACTGTTGCCATTCGTTTATAGATGCAGGTCAATGGAGTTCGCAAACCCACAGGAATTCAGCCCCAGAGAACCAGTACTTCAGCCGAAGGCATGAAAACATGCCACGCGACAACAGGTCGGTTGGTGTTATGGGGACCCAACGCCCCCACCCGCAGACCCGCACAACCCAAGGGGACCAAACCTGGCCTGGTCCCCACCCACAGTCAAAAGAAGAGGTCACGTTTCAGACGCAAACCCAAAACTGGCCCGGTTGGCAGCTCCATGAGCTTGCTGGCCACATTCCAAGTCAATGCGGATCGCAGGAAGTTCGTCGACGTCCAGATTAATGGCCAGACCGTCCGCTTGCAGTTGGACACAGCTTCGGATATCACGATCATCTCCGAGAAACTCTGGCGATCCCTTGGTAGTCCACCAGTGCAGCCAACCCTTCAATCCGCCACCAGCGTCTGTGGTGGCCACGTGCAGCTAACTGGACAGCTGCATTGTACCGTCTACTTTCGAGGTGTCACCTTCGACGGGAGCTGCTACATCGCCAAGGCAAACCTCAATCTACTTGGTCTCGATTGGTTCGAACAGCTTGGCATGGCCGACCTACCTATCCGAACCATCTGCAGCGCGGTACAACCTCTGGTCGTACCAACTAACGAAACCGATGACCTCATCCGACAGTTCTCCTCAGTGTTCCAAGATGGTCTTGGCCGCTGTTCACGCACCTGCGCCGTGTTACAGCAAGCTCCCGAAGCTCAACCGGTATTCCGTCCTAAAAGGCCGGTCCCATACGCAGCCTTACCATTGGTCGATGCTGAACTTAAACGATTGGAAGATATGGGTGTCTTGGTACCGGTGTCCTACTCTGCTTGGGCAGCCCCAATCGTTGTTGTCAAGAAACCAAATGGATCCCTTCGCATCTGTGCCGACTTCTCTACGGGCCTCAATGCCGCTCTACAACCGAACTGCTACCCATTACCATCACCAAACGACCTCTTTACCATACTCAATGGCTCCGGAGTCGCAACCGCTTTTGACGATCAACACACACCGCGGTCTCCTTCAGTACACCAGGCTGCCGTTTGGCGTCAAGACCGCACCAGTCCTATTCCAGCAGACAATGGATGCAATGATCGCTGGCATTCCAGGAACGTCCGCATACCTGGATGATCTCCTTATTGTTGGTCACAACCCATAAGAATTGCGAGAACGTCTGGTCTCGGTCTTTAAACGGATCCAGGAATATGGTTTCCGCCTGAGAGCCGATAAATGCCAATTCCTCCTACGGTCAATCAAGTACCTCGGCTTTGTCTTCGATGCTAATGGCCGTCACCCCGACCCCTGAAACGTCGAAGCCATTCACCAGATGCCACCTCCCAACGATATTCATTAACTGCGCTCCTTCCTTGGTCTCATCACTTACTACAGTGCTTTCTTACCATCACTACACGATGTACGGGCCCCTCTGAATCAACTGTTGCTAAAGGATGTTCCTTGGCACTGGTCCCCCGCATGCGAGAAAGCCTTCCTGCGCCTGAAAACTATGCTCAGTTCTGACCTGCTGCTGACACATTACGATCCAGCCCTACTCATTCTAGTCGCCGCCGATGCCTCCAATTACGGAATCAGAGCGGTCTTCTCCCATCGCTTCCCCGATGGTTCCGAGAAAGCGGTCATGCATGCCTCCCGCACGTTGACGTCCGCAGAGAAGAACTACGGTCAGATCGAGAAAGAAGCCTTGGCTATCGTCTTTGCCGTTAAAATGTTCCACAAAATGCTGTATGGTCGACATTTCACCTTATTGACCGACCACAAGCCGTTATTGTCCATCTTTGGCTCCAAGAAGGGTATTCCAACGTATTCAGCCAGTCGACTTCAACGATGGGCCGTCATCCTTCTCGGTTACGATTTCGAAATCCGTTTTTGCCGCACTCAGGACTTTGGTCAAGCTGACGGTCTCTCACGCCTCATCCCCAAACATACGGTAAATGAAGATATCGTGATCGCCGCTGTCGCCGTCGAAGAAGATGTTCGTCATCAGCTTTCAGACACTATCCGCAGCCTTCCTCTTACAGCCGCCGACATACGTCGCGAAACTGCACACGATCCGGTTCTCCGCCAAGCTATCGCTTACGTTCAGACACGCTGGCCTAACATTACCTTCTCAGGGGAACTCCAGCCCCTATTCCGGCGTCGGGACTCCCTCTCTATCGTCGACTTCTGCCTTATGACCGCTGATCGAGTCATAGTTCCTGTCCACCTTCGACAAGCCGTGCTCCGTCAGTTCCATTCTGCACACCCTGGTATCAGCAGAATGAAGGCAATTGGTCGCAGTTTCGTCTATTGGCCTGGGATAGACAGCGACATTGAAGATTTGGTTCGCCGTTGCTCCAGGTGTCAACAAGCAGCCAAGATACCACACCACCAACCACCAGTCTCCTGGCAACCAACAGAGAAACCGTGGTCTCGAATACATATCGATTATGCTGGTCCAATTGATGGTACCTCCTATCTCGTCCTGGTTGCATGCGTACTGCTAAAGTTGGCCTGAAGTAGTACAATTAATCTCCCTGACAACCACCGTCAAACAATGAACGTGTCTGCCCAACGGCTATATTCTCAGTCAACATGGAGTTGCGCCTGATGTTCCTCGTGTTCCGACAACGGAAGGCAGTTCACGTCATCCCAATTTGAGGATTTTTGTCGCTCTCACTGCGTGCAGCACCTCAGATCACCACCCTATCATCCACAGTCTAACGGTCAAGCGGAACGTTTTGTCGACACTTTCAAGCGAGCGCTCTTAAAGGCTCGAGGGGAGGGAACTACAT